TTCTCTCTAAAAATCAACTGTTGGTCAGGTTTACATGTTTAGAACTCTGGCACAAGAAATACAAACTCTATATTTGCATTCATCCTAACCTGGTGGGCTTTTGTGTCTTCAAGGTGCCTCAGTCAGCCCTTCTTCAAGTAAGGTATTTGTCAGGAGAGCGGGGTGGTGGACGGAGAGGTTTCCTGGGAGAGTTTTTGGATAACCTCAAACAGGAGCTAAACAAGAACAAGGAAATGAAAGAAAACATCAAAAAGTTTCGGGAAGAGGCCAAAAAACTCGAGGAGTCAGAGGCACTGAAGCAAGCGCGGAGGAAATATGTAAGTATCTGGCCACACGCTGAACTTCTGTCACTTAAACTAGCAGCAGGTCTGAAAACGCTGGGAAATGCTCTTCTTGTCTTTTCCCAGAAAAATATAGAGTCTGAAACAGTGAAGACGTCCGAGGTTCTCAGGAAGAAGTTGGGAAACATTTCAGAGACGGTCAAAGAGGTAAATATGACAAGTACACGTATAAACTGACTGTTGTAGTCATGCTGCTGAAGCTGGTACGATTCTGCATGTTTGTAAGGGACTGGAAGAAGTCAGCCGGACAGATTTTGGGAAGAAAATCAAAGAAGGGATGGAAGAAGCTGCCAAAACAGCAAAGACATCAGCTGAGACGGTCTCCAAGAGCGGAGAGATGCTGGGGAAGACGGGCGCATTTAAAGCAATATCTCAGGTATGCAGTCACAGTTAAATCTGATTCACCTTTTATTTCTCTTATACAGCATGTATGACGCATAAACATGTTAACATTATTCTCAGAGCTGTCATAAAGACGAGGTCATCATTTACTAACTATTAGAAATAATTTGTGTCACTGAGAGATCTTCTGTTTTTAGGGAATGGAGAGTGTGAAGAAAGAGATCGGTGACCTGGGTCACACTGGCCCCTATCGGCCTCCCACCAGACTCAGGAAGAGGACTGAATTCTCCTCCAAGGGGGCAGCGGATGAAAGCAGGGTCTTTGAGGCCAACGAGTACGTGAGGGTGTAAGAGGGGAGATGCCCCTCAGCTTCACGATCGATATTTGGATCGATCGGGCCAATATTAATAAAGATATAAGAATTGAAACTCAGCCAAAGCTGAAAGCAGCGAGAGCTCACGTCTGATCAGATACCAAGAAACTGACATTAATATTATTTCTTCAGCTGGTTTTGGTATCGTCAGCCAAACACCATCAAATGACAGTTTTCACACAAACTGTTGCCTGATGTTTGGAGGACTGTAACAGCTGTTACATTTCCTCCACCTCATTGTCATTTCAAGTGTTTCATTTCTATTTGCTTTGTTGATCTGACTGTAATGTGCTTATTTATCACATTTTATATCTGTATATATTTACATCATCACTTTAGGGAAGCTATGGGCGTGGTGCTCCACAAAGACTCAAAGTGGTACCAGCAGTGGAAGGACTTCAAAGACAACAACGTGGTCTTTAACAGTAAGGAAACCCCCCCCAATGTAATTCTAGGTAGAGAGGACCAATGATATGTCTGCTGTCTTAAATGTGATGCTGCTGCTGCATCTTCTACAGCTGTGATGACATCACTGTTGACCCCGAGTTATAAAGCCGGCCTTTTGTGTTTGGCCGGTGAAGGCGTTACTGACCCTCCAGTTTATTAGCATCTATTAATGAGCATTTTCTGAACGAGCCGGTGATGGAGGATGTAGCTCCACTCAGTTAATTTTATGTGCGTTAGTTATGGAAACGCTGTTAATGATTAATAATGTTTGGACGTGTGAAAAATGGCCTTTCAGGTGGGACGTTACACGAAGTAATCGTGTAGTTTTTTCACAGCTGGGCCCCGTCAGCGTTTCTAAACTAAAATGCTGATCACTCACTTCTTTGTTTGATAAAATAACAATCCTGGCAAACTGCTGCCATAAAAGTTTCATTCCAGTTTGGGATGCGTGACGAGTCTTTAACAGACACGGGCTCTGATTGGTTTCACGCTTTTCTTGCCCTGCTTCCTGTGAGGTGAAGCTCCGCCCACATTTTCTGACACTTTTGTGAATGTTTGGACTCATAATGCTATAAACAAACATGCTGCTTGTTTAATGTACTTATTGTTAGAAAGTCAGATATTTGTACTGCTTTCCTGAACTTATCCTAAACCTTATCTTAAACCTCTGACAAACTGATTTTGTTAATAATCGCAGGGTTCTTTGAGATGAAGATGAAATATGATGAGAGTGACAACGCGTTTATCAGAGCGTCCCGTGCCGTCACTGACAAGATGACTGACATCATAGGTGAGCAGCTGTGGGAACTGTCGGTGACACAGAAATGTTACATGTGTCTCTTTTTATGCTTGAAAGACTTAATTTGTGTTCGTGGACATTGATATTGTGTCTAGTCGAGATGTTTTTAGTAACATGCGGTACCGATCCACCAATAGGCCATGGTCCTCAGCCAGGACAGGGCGGAGTGCCCACTCCTCGAGGGGAAAGTGGAGTCGTTCATAAGGAGCACAG